TACAGTATATCTGATATGCAGGATAGCTGATGTACAGGATAGCTGATGTACAGGATATCTGATATGCAGGATATCTGATGTACAGGATATCTGATATGCATGATATCTGATACATGACCCCTCCAAGGGGGTTGAGACCCAGGTTGAGAACTGCTAATCTAAAGTTATATCAATAATAAGTGGTGCAGCCAAGGTCTGAGTTGAGATAAAGTCTGTGTCTATTATTATTTTGGTGTATGTCAACTGACACTGGATACAACTCAGAAAGCTATTAGCCCTGAGGTTTATCTGGAGGATTTGTTCGTGAGTTAGAGAAACACAGACATATATACTTGATCCTAGTCAAAAGGCTTGGAAAGGATTCATATGAGAGCATTTTAGAGCCAGGAGGGCAGAAGAGGAGGTGGTTGTGTAAGGGTAGGGGATTTACACAGAAGAAGCAGATGCTCTGAGACATAGGCCCAGGAACGTTGTCAGTTTTCTTTAAAACCAAATAATAAACACAGCTTTTAAAAATGTACTCTGCTATCTTTTTATGGACAAATTCTTCTATGTATGTATGTATACATGTACACACACGTATATACCAGATTTTTCATATGTTCTATATTTACAGTACAGTATACATCTATGAACATAGTTGCTAATTTAAAAAATGATTACATTTGCGTATTCACATGTTATGAGTGTGTATATGTGTGTATGTATGTTAGTGTGTGTACTGTGTATATGTGTACATATGTCACAGCTTGTGTATGGAGGTCAGAGGACAACTTTCAGGAGTTGGGTCTCTCCTCCTACCATGTGGGTTCAGGGATGAAACTCAGGCCATCATGTTCAATGGGAAGTGCCTTTTTAAACCTACTCGACCATCTTGGTAGGCCAAGTTGCTGAGTTTTTAGGTATGATTATGTCTGAATGCATAATCTGATCTAATTGTTTTGATGTGATTGACTGGTTAAGATAATAAGAATGAATATCTATGTTACAGACAGTGTTTGTATTTTACAGTGTGTGTGTGTGTGTGTATGTGTGTATGTGTGTGCATGTGTGAGTAGGCAAAATTTATGTATGTGCCTATTTAAATTACAGTCTAAAGAACAAGAATTTAGCATTGTGTGTGTGTGTGTGTGTGTGTGTGTGTGTGTGTGTGTGTGTGTAGGCAAAATTTATGTATGTGCCTATTTAAATTATAGTCTAAAGAACAAGAATTTAGCATTGTCTTACTGATATGAGGCTTTCACAGATATAGTCCGTTGTATTAGTTTGATTACCCACGACACGATCATGTTTTATGAAAAAGGATGCAAACTATGACAATTACACAGGTATTTGGCTTCCTGGTGCTTGTGTGTAGAAGGTTTCAGTTTAGGTGGCAGAAATCTTATTCTGATGAGGGATGAATAAGGAGCCATGAGAGACATGAGGTGGAATGTCAGTTGCTCTCCAGATCTGTCAAACCTGCCTGTCTCACCGAGGTGGAGTTCTGCACACTGTCTCTTCCACATTTTGGGGGGACGATGGGTGGCTGGCTTTGTCAGAGTGGTCCCTCAAGGCATGATCCACACGGCTGCGTTTTTGCAATCACTTTGTAGACAATTACGCTCATTTCATTTGGGAAGCTTGCCCAGAGTAGCAGCCAGGGACATGCGGGAGGAGGTAGCTACAGAAGAGACAGCATTTTATTTTATGGGTGGTTGGGTTTCTGTATGTGCTTAACAGTCCTTCACTGTGACGCAGAATCCCCTGGAACTGTGATCTGCTTTGCTCATTTGTCAGCCTCTGTTAGGCGGCTTTGTTTAGGCATAAACAACCAAAGATCCCACAGGATTTTTTAATTTCTGCAACCTGCTATTTGTTTTTAAGTGGAACGTAACAAAGCTTGGCTTCTTCCCGGGGAACTAGGAAGCCAATCGTGCAGTTTGGTCAACATAAAATAGAACCATTATGCCAGTTTAGCAGCAGCAGCAGCAGCAGCAGAGAATTTAGCATTCTAGTCTTCTGAAAACTCTGAGACCTTAGTTTCAGTCGTTAAGAACCCATGCTTTCTCTTCATCTACCTGAAAGGTCCAGTCCTAGCCATGCAATGACTGTGGGTGAAAGTCCCCCTTTCACACAGAACAGCGTGAAGAGAATCCACAGAGGGTGATGTTAAGTAGTTTTAAATGCTCATGGAAAAAATGTTTCCTTGACACA